ACGGAGCACACCGCAAAGTCGGCGTACGTGAGGTCCTGCCCCATCGCGACGACGCCGTCTCCGTCGGGCGGCCCGTTCTTGTCCATCATCGCCGCCAGAAAATCGAACTGCTCCTGCACCGCGCGCCACGCCTCGGGCGGCGCGGGCGGGAACTGCGGTGCGCCGCCCGGCACACCGGGCCCGGCAGGCTGCGGCGTCGCAGCGCGCAGGGGGAAGTGCGTCTGGCTGCGCTCGTGCAGGCGCTGGTGGGTGAGCGGGACCATGATCGGGAGGAGGGGCTTGACGAATGTCTCCTGGACGTAGTGCACGAAGAGGGACTGGACTGCCCTGGAGCCCTCGGGGAATATTTGGCGCGCCGGGTAGCTCGTCTCGAGGTATTCGGCGATGATGGCGGGGTTGGAGAGTACGATGGGCTGTGTGGGCGACCCGAAGGGGTCGACGATGGCCGGGAGGGTGTATACGGGACGGCCGTCTGGGCGGAATGAGGTGGGCGGCGCGCCGACGGAGATTAGCGTTTGCTCAATGTCGGGAAAGTCGACCCAGGCTGTGCGGTACGGTAACCGCTTGTAGTTCAGTATGAGCCTTCGAATGACCGTCAGCTCTTGTAAGGTACTAAGAAGAAACCATGGAAGAGAGAGACCTTATTCTCCATATATTCGGCGCCCAAGGCTGAGGAAACCTCATGGGCACGTCGTAGAGGATGATCATCGGCTGCGACATGGTCGTCCGAATAATCAATTGAAAGCAGGTATGTTGGTCAGTGTCCACGTTCTCTCAGTCCAGGTGCCTCAATAAGTACGTTCCAGATATATCTCCGAGTCAATCTTTAGTCACGGTCGCCAAAGGAGGTTCCCTGAGAGGCGCTGGCGTACTGACGACATGACTCCGTTGGATCACGGGCTGTACTTTGTTGGGCTGGGTGGGTACGTAGGTAAAGCGGGACAAGAGGGTTGCTTTCCTCGGGTGAGGCGTACGAGCGAGCCTTGAGCCTATGAAGACGGCGATGATCCTGGATCATGATGGATGGGCGGCGACATGTCCCACATGAATGAGAGATGAGGCCCCATTTCAGATAGGCTGAGTCAACTACGCGGGTTGCAGTAGAACGCATGCTCACCTTTTCTTCCTTGCCCAAGCTCCGATGCCGGATTTGGGAAATTCGAAATGCAAAGAACGACGCACCGACGTTGAGGCCGACTCCGAGTCGGTTGAAAAGCCTATTGTCGAACAACAGAACTCAAAATTAGACTTGCTGTATAACGTGACGATTTGCATGTAACCGACGCCGCTCGCCTCACCTGTCAGTGCGTCGCGCCGTATCGTAAGGACGCTATGCCGTGTCCAGCACTGCTCGTGATCAAGCCTGATCACGCTAAGGCAAGCTGTGAAGTGGCTGTGTTGATATGTCGGAGGCGATGGTTGAGTTTGCCACTTTCCGCTTGTTCGCTTTGATGGACTCAGTGAGTGAGGAGCGGCCGCCCAAAAGACGCGAGGTGAAGTCAGGTAGGAGGAAAAGGGTAGCTGGTCCGAGGCATCTCGCTCCCGTCAAAGTACCGGTATTGTGTGAATTCACGGTTAGGGGCTTGAAATCTTGAGATGGCAGGCAAATCACGGCAGAGGGATGTGCCTCCGATAGATGTGGTAAACCGGTTGTCTCTCCGATATCCGGGCACAACAGCGGGAAATCTTCCCCTCCAAGACTTTTTTGTCGACATTATAACCGCCGACAGAAGGGAGGCAAAGCCGCTAAGCAACTAGCAAGCAAGGTCTCGCTGTGGTATTGAAGCGACTTGGAAGCGACTGAGATTCCAGGCAATGGGTCGATCTCAGGGATGAGATAGATGACTCATGAAATGGCCCGATCTCGGATGCCTGAACTGAGTGTATCTTGAAAGAGGCCAGAATCGCTCCCAAAACAGCGGACTTTGGAGACGTGTTGGTGTTGTCTGCTTTTCGCATGTTTTCGGTATTTTTCACTTGAAACACCAAATCATGCATCTAGGGAAAGTTATGTGCCATGTCACGCAGAGATCGTTATGATGAGTGTTCACCGGTGTACACAAGCCTGCTGAACCCATTCTAAGCCCTTGGCCATATCGGCGGAAAACTCTGCGCGGCGCTAATTTTAGGGCGAGTGAAGGGCTTTCTTTCATCCCGAGGCGTGCGGCGTCAACTATCCAGCGACACAGAATTTGACGTACACGACCACGTTGGTGGGTACGCATCGGACGCGCAAGCGCCGGAGGGGTGACGATAAATCGACGCTTAACTTGAAACAGCTCAAACACGAGGCAATCTCCGAGTCAGCCTTGGAAGGTTGCATGAGCACCGGGGTAGGAGCCATACATTGGGCAAGAGAAATGCTGTAAAAATGCTGGTCAAGACACCGCTGTTTCTAGAGAAAATATGCTTCTCACCTGAGTCATTCACCTCCATTATCGGATACAGCCAGTCCACTGGTAGCGGTCTCCGTCTGCCGCGACACTGACTGTGCCAGTGACTCGCTGGTCATTAGGCGCTCTTCTTCCCATATGTTCCCCGATTTGTCCACAATGCAAAGCATAAACTTTGCCATTAAGCGCCTAACGTTATCAGGACAGGAAGACGCCGGCGCTTGCATTCCCCCGAGTTTACTTCTTAAGCCACATCAGCATCAGAGGCGTGAATGTCACCAAACATTGACAGTGCTCAAGAACGAGTCTGGGAAGTGACGCAGACTAGATGAGATGTATGGTAGTTTCTGACGTTATTTTCACGAAAATGGAGCCTTGGTTTGAGCCTGTCCGAATATTATATGCCTTAAAATGAGTACGCCTTGTAATGCGCATCAATTGCGCACTGACCTCCAAACTGACCTCCCTTTCTCAACCTACGGTCTCCCCTCCCAAATCGCATTGTCACAGCCATCGCTGTTGACAGGTAGGATCAGGTTCGAGCATTTTCTGCATGAAGTGTTGGGAAGCGTTGGGCCAGCAAATGGGCTGGGCTGAGCGGGCGCCTCGCGTGATAGGAAAAACGCGAAGAGAAAGGCCTCGTGTTGAAGGCATCTCGGGCATTACCGTCAGTCCTTGTAGCACGGAGTATGTCCTAAACTGAGACATGCCGTGTACGTCTTAGTGTGCTGAGTCCTAACATCGACACCTGGCCCTGTTTCAGGACTCGGAGTAGACGTAGGTGTCGGTGATACGATGCGGTTCCGCATGGATGGCTCGGGACTATCGACCCATCAATGCATCACGATTGTACTGGCCGAGAAGATACGCACGAAAGGGCGAGGTAAAGGGCAGTTTATAGCGACGTGGCAACCAAGGTGCTGCTGGCCAAGGACGCGGGTGATGCAGACCACCCGGTGAGAAAGCTGCTGCGAATATTCCGAGATTAAGAGAGGTTCGGTACCGCAGTAGGAAATAGAATTAGCGTGATGTCGCAACAGACAGAAAAGATTGTATGAGCATATATGAATGGGTGAGTGGGTGATGGACGTCCGCGGTGGTCGCGCGCAGGTGGTGGCCAAGCGGATTGATTGAAGGAGCGACGTGACAAACTTTGACCGCCTGCCATTTTCTGACTTTGATGCCCACCTAAACTCGTTCACTCTGCCATCGCTGTTCCCGTCGTCGCCCAAGACGATGTCTGTCCTCCCCTCATCCTCGGGCCCGCCGTCTTCCTCCGCCGTCACCATCCCAAGGGCCGGCAAATCCATCCTCAAACGCCCGCCACCCCAACAGACTGGTCTCATATCACGCATCAAGGGCTTTCTCCCCACCAACGCCAATGCCGCCAACGCGACCTCCACCACCGCGTCCGACGACACACGCGCCCTCAAGCGCGCGCATTTCATCCTTCCGCACCTCGTCACCGTGTACCCGATCTCGACCATCAACCCCCCGAGCATGCCCACCCTCAAGGACGAGAAGCTCGCGATCGAGGAGAGAGAGGCAGAGCGTCGTCGTCGCATCGTCCGCGGCAACTCATTCAGCGGCTCGGCGTCAGATGTGTCGACTATGACATTGAAGGAGACGGACGAGTGGTGGAACATGGACAAGGTTGAATCGTTCTACCGCGAGTGCTGCGAGAGCAGAGAGGAGCAGCCGGATCCAGCTGTCACCGCTGCCTTCAAGGTGCGTTGCTCTGTTCCAGGCGTCTTTGAGGGTGTCATGAGCTGATGGTTACACTTTCGGCACGAAGAGGGCTGCCAACACCGAGCCCAGGTCAGTCGACTTGTCTGGCGTGCAGCTCACGCCAACCTCGGCCGCCATTCTCTCAGATGTCTTCACCATAGAGTGGGGCCTCCGCAAGCTCACCCTGCGCGAGTGCGATCTCGACGAACATGTACGTCCCCCTCTGCTGAGCTCGGGTCCTCTCGGCTCTTGACTAACGACTAATTGCTCTGTAGACCCTGAAGCCTATGCTGCACTCCCTCCTGATACCCAATACCCTCGTCTTCCTGTCCGTCGCATCAAATAGACGTCTCAAGATCCCGGCGTTCAAACTCGTCAGCGCCTATGTCTCGCGGGTACGTGAGCGCTTTCTGTCCATCTATCCATCGCCCCTATCACGCGACTTGGCCTAAGTTTGGGATCTCTGTTCTGTGGACACTGTTTCTGATTTCGATCACAGGCCAAGTCGCTCCAGTTCCTTGACCTCTCGCAGAACGCGCTGGACAAGAAGGCGATGGAGTACATTGCGAGTGTGATACCGCAGTTGCCGGCGCAGGGAATTATCTCGCTCCGTCTGGATGATTGTCAACTGAAGCCGCCAGCACTTGATGTTCTAGGTAAGTTTCACGCTTCGTTGCAACCTTCGTGGGGACTCATCCATTGCCCCTCTCGGTTTCTTGTCTCCATCTAAACATAACACCCTATTCACAACATATATGTAACTACACGCCCACCAGCCCGCGCCGTTCGTAATTCTTCTCTGCGCAACATCTCCCTCCGGCACAACAAGATCAACCAGTCTGGCGCAGTCGCCCTCGCTATTATGATCCGGGACTACCCCGACGCCATCCCGTCCACGTCGCCCTCGCCATCCTCGCCTCCACTCTCCACATCCTCGCTCTTAGCACCCTCCTCAGGCTCCGGTACACCGCAAGCAAGCCCAGCAACGTCCTTCGCCTCTCTCCCTCTCTCGCTCAGCTCCTTCCTCTCACCGCCGCCTTCGCCAATGTCGCCATCACCATCGCTGTTACCCGGCACAGGCTCACCGAACCCAGGAACACCAACATCCCCCTCCACGCCGCTCCCTCCCCCTCTCCCACACGGGCCGGGGAAGACCGTCCCGCCGCGCCCGCCGCCCCGGCACCCGTCGATGCAGCCGCCGCAGACGACGTATACACCGTACATACCCCGGTCGCGGCGCAATGCTCCGCCCCCGGGGCCGTCGGGCGGAGGAGCGGGGCACCCGCCGCTGTCGGCGAGCGGTCAGCCGATGCCGGTTATTACGTCGAATACTGCGGGCGGGATTACGACACGGCACGATGACTCGCATGCGCATGCACAGGCACGGCAGGGACGCCAGGGTGCGAACGGCACGTCGCACGCGGCGGCTGGCTTGGGAATGGGGAGTAGAGCGGGTGTGCCGCCGGGGGCGGGGAACAGGCATGGACAGGGGCAGGGCGGGCACGGGCAGGGTCCGAGCGCGGCGTTGTTGGATAAGGTGCGGGCGCTGGATGCGTTGCCGCGTCTTGGGGCGCTGCGGACGTTGGATCTGAGGGGGAATGATTTGAAGGTGCGCGGTGTTTCTTTTTCTGTTGTTCTTCGTTTTCTTGGTCTCGGTGTTTGCTTCGTTTTGTTTTGTTTTTTCTTCTTGTTCCTCGCAACCTGCTTGATGCTGAAGAACGACTTTGGCTGGGATAGACGGGTATAAGCTACCTCGCGCAGGTGCTCAAGCGGAACCGGACGCTCAAGGTGCTCAATCTGAGCGATAATAAGCTAGATGTTGGATGTTTGGTCGCTGTTGCTGAGGCACTGGTGCGTTTGTTTCGTTTTGGTTTCCCAAATTCTGTTTTGACGTGCCAGCGCTTACGATATCTTTTCGTTCTGCGCGATTTCTTTTTGGTGCATGTGATGCCTGGTGGCCCTTGCAATGCTTATATTGACTTGTTGCGGGTTAATGTCCAATATCCCTTGTGGATGGCTGTAATCATCAGAAATACAACCTCTCGCTCGAAACGCTGGACCTGAGCCGGAATCCGTGCGCCGGACCAGCGTTGGACGGTGTGAGTCTTTCACTGTTACTTACCCTGATTAAGCTACATCTCACCACCTCAACAAACCCACCTCTCCGCCCCACAGATCCAATCGCTCCGCACCGCGTTCACGCTCAACACAGCGCTCAAGCGGCTCTTCCTCTCCTCGACAGGGCTCACCTCGGCCGCGGCGATCGCGCTCGCCGAGTTCCTGCCCGAGTCGGCGTCGCTCCTGCACCTCGACCTCACGCTCAACAACCTCGACATCGCCGCCGTCATGGCGCTCTCGTCTGGGCTCAAGGCGAACCACGTGATGCGGTGTATGGATGTGGAGGTGCCGCCGGGTGACGAGGCGTTTGCCAGGTGAGCCTGCCCTTGCTTTGCTGCATATTTGGAGCGGCGGAAATGGCGAGTGGAGTTTTAAAAACTTGGTGCTGATGGCGGGTATGAGTAGGATGTGCCGGGATATTCTCAATACGTGCGTGCGCAATACGGAGGAGGCAGAGAAGGCCGCGCAGGCGCAGGCGAGAGCCGAGGGAGGGGATGGCGTCGACGGCGGGGGGCGCTCCAAGGGTGTGTTATGGAACATGATTGAGGATAGCGAGCTGGCTAAGTCGATACGGCTAGGCAAGGGCCAGGTGGGTCGTTTCGCGGTTTTGCTCGTTTCCTGACAGGTTTCTCATTGCGGGACTCTCGGTCGTCTGGGCTTTGGTCTTCTTTTTGTGCATGTCGTGTTGAATTGCTTCATGGGGGCATGGGCACTGCAGACGGAGATGGACCTCGTTATCCGGGCGCGGGAGACGCTCGAGCGGCTGAACGAGGTGATCGATCCGAACCCGGACCGGAGCCCGCCGATGTCCGACCCGCCGTCGTCCGCGTCGTCGGGGGTGTCGACGCCCGTAACGGCCGCGGCCTCCGCCAAGTCGCTACTGGACAAGGCGCGCGGTGTGGTGCTGGAGGTGACGGAGCGTGTGCAGAGCACAGCGGACGCGCAGGCGCTCGAGACGCTGCTTGGGCTGTGCGACGAGTTGAATGCGGCTATTGCGGCGGTGGAGAGTCGGAATGCTTCTGCTGTTGCTGCCTCCGCTGCGTCGGAGAAGGGTGCGCCTGTGGGGTTGGGATTGCATATCGAGAAGAAACTCGGTTCGGCCGCTGATGGGCCTAAAGCTGCGGAGGGCCGTGCAACACCGGAAGAAGCGGAAGCGGAAGAAGAGGTAGATGAAGAGGAGCCACGGACGCCAAGGGTGGATAAGGGGAAAGGAAGGGCGGAGCCTGAGCCCGAGCAGCCGGAAAAGGTGCTCAGTCCGACGTTTGTGCTTAGCGAGTCTGACGATGATGAGGATGAGGACGGCGGGCTTGCGAGGTTCAGGGAGGAGATTGGAGGGGAGGAAGATATGGGGCTGCCGTCGCCTAATGATCGGTGCGTTTTCCTTGTTTGGTATTTGAGGTCACTAATTGCCGTGTACAGGTCAAAGAGCTGGGTGGAGGAGGAAGGCGAGGTGTTCAGGAAGGGCGTTGTGCTGCTCAGCGAGGAGACGATGGAGGGCGAGTACGCGGGTGAGGATCTGAAGCGCGAGGTACGCTCCTCCCTATTCTTCTTCTCTCCGCCTTTCTGCCTCTGATAAAAACGACGTCGCCCATAGCTCCTCGAAGCAATGGTCGAACGCCCCCCGCCACGCGGCTTCATCGACGAATACGGTATGGAAATCAACGGCCCGCCCTCGCCGCTCATCGGCGCCAACAATATCGAGAACGAGCCGTTGTCGCCGCTGCCCAACGAGCAACAGCCAAACAAGCCCGTACCGCGACCGTACATCTCGCGCTCGCGCTCGGCATCCAACTCGGTCGAGCAGCTTGCTCCACCGACATCGACGCCGGGCTCTCCCTCGCTCGGGGCACCGCCGCTGAGTCCATCATTGGTGAGGCTTCCAGCGTCGCCGGTTGTGCCGTCGCCGAGCACGCCGACAGGTGCTGCGGGGATGCAGAGGCCAGGGGCTCCTGCGCGGTCGTGGTCGACTGGGTCGGCGGGGTCGCCGTCTGGGGCGTAGAGGGTCTGGGAGATCGTCTGTGCTTGCTGTTGTGTCAAAACATACGTATGCTGTGGTTGTTAATAGGGAGGAGAGGCTGCAGATGGGAGGACTATATGGAAATGGAGGGATGGTGGTTTATAGGTACTTACTCGTCATTTTCTTCTTCTTCGTACTGTAGACTCGACTTGTCATGTCGCACTGATCGTAACGGTAACATACCCCGGGTTTCGGATTTGTGTTTCTCTCTCATGGCGTGTTTGTGAGGAGAGTATGTCAAAACAGTCAAGTTGTTGGTTATTCTCGTTGACGGACCCTTGACATAACTTTGCTAGCGCTCAGCTGCAAGTTACAATTCGGGTACACTTGACTGTGTAAAGCATTAGTCATTCGGTTCAATCTACGCATTCTTGGTAATGCCGTTTCGACCGGTAATTTCCAGTAGAGTTTTCTTGCTCGGCAGTCGAGTGCTACTTCGTTTTACCTCAGTATTTCAGACGAGATTTCTATTCTTCGCAAGCTCGAGAATATTACGCTGCCGCAACAGTAATATTCAATGATTCGGTACCGGAGCTAGCCCAAATGCAATCTCGGCATACATCACGATCTTCACAACGTCACAACAGATGCCTTCCTTGACTGTCGTTTCATACCAGCAGTCCAGCTCTCTTTCTTTTCTTCTAGACGGAAAGACTATTCCAGTGTCCAGTGTCCACGCCCCTCGCCCCCCTCTCTGACCACTCTTCTCATAGCCCAATTACTGCATGTGCTCCTATCGAAGCCAAGCTCAGCAACAACAGCTGCCAAGGCAATCCTATGCCTCCTGCTCCGTTCTCCGAATTGTCTGCGCAATCCTTGCATGCGGAAATCGACGTTTTGGTGACATCGTACTTCAAGCTGCATTGAACCCAGTTCTCGTTGCCGGCATTAGATCCATCCGCTCCGCATTGTTGAAAGACAGTGTTGAAGGGGCATCCAGTCGTACCGTTGGCAGTCGTGATGTTGCTTCCTAGCTCGGAGCAGCAAATGGTCTGGATAGTGGTGTTGCTGGCAACACATCCTGCGGCAAAGATATGTCAGCATTGAGGCAACTTGACAGAGCTAACGCAAGTTTAGCTAAACTCTCGTACCGATAAATGTGGTGCTAATGGGGGCGGCCATGATCAATGTTTGCACTCGATCGCAAGGATGTCGACGGAGATCGTATGGTATGCCTTCATCATTCTACCCTGCGTTCTCATACTTAACGGTCTCAAAATGCTGTATAGCAGCTTGGCGGACTCGTTGCTCACAGCATTGACCGTCCAGATCAGGCACTAGAGGCGGTGCTCCGTGCGATCACTGTCACCAGCCATCACCACACACGCTAATCATTGATCCAGCAGGCCCCGGAGAATTCAAAACCCTGTTCGTGTTTGCGTGGGTTTGCGTGTGCGTCGTTTTTCGTCATCGCTGTTTCGATGAGTCTCGGTATGGCGGATCACGGTGTTGCGTGCGAGAGATGAGGTTGCGGTGCCCAGCAAGAGGTGAAGCTATGTGACTTTATTTCAGTAACCCGCAGGTAGCTCTTGGAACAACGTTCTGCACGAATTCGGTGCTCAACATTGACTACGAACGACATTGTACACATGCTGACGGGAAGACACAGATGATATGATAGGGAGTAGGGGATGGTAGATGCAGGAGCAGACGAGTGGATGGAAATTTGAGGTGGGGGATTACCCTGCTTTTATACACGAAACCCCAGGGGCTTTGCGCACCCGTACAGAGGGTTCATATCTGAGATCTGAGGTCTAGGAAAAGAGCCATCGACGGATTAAATTCAGCGCTGGATTAGGACGTCTGACAAACATAACTCTAGGGGTAGTGCCATTTAACAGGAAAACAAAGGAGGGCCAAGGTGAGCTGAAGGCGGGGTCCACTGACGAAAAGCAGGCGTGCGCAGCAGTGGTATAGCATAGGAGACTGTAAAGTGAATAAGGCGCCAAGAAATCTTTCTAAGTGGCCTGTAGTTGGATTACACATCAATTCATATGTGAGGGGCTTCAGCGTAGAACAAATCGGGAGGATCAGGCTGCCCTCCAGTTCAACGCAAGAGCCAAACAGAACCATACGAATAACGGTAAGAAGGTTAACTATACGGGAAATCTACAGGTATAATAGTACTAACACGCGTTCGTCTTCAGATCTAGCTTTCCTCTGCAAACTCCCAGTCTGTGTAGCCCAACGGCGTCAAATCACCAAGCAAGTAGTACTTCGAGCGGTCAGACGGCGTCAACGCTAAATCCTTCTCCAGGCGCTTTGGTAGATCGGGCTGCCCCAAGCACCACGCATCAGTAACCCAACAGCAGAGAGACTCAGAAGAACGTACATTGGAAATAAACAGCCTTCCATACGCCACCAAGCCGCTCTTTAAATTCTCCTCCGCGTCCTTGATCCCCGATTCGCGTGTGAATCCGCCGGCGGCGATGTACGGTCTACTTCCCCATATCTTGCGGAGGAAATCATTTGAACCCGGTGCGTCCTCGATGACCTCGAGGCCCTGCGCGCGCGGCTCGATGACGTGGATGTATGCGATGTCGCGCGCGGCGAGCTGTGCGACGAGGTGGGTGAAGGTCGGGACGGGGTCGGACATGCCCATACCTACGAGCGAGTAAAGGTTCGTCAGAAGGTTGGAATGAAGGGGAGTTGCATCAATCACAGGTAGAGATGGTGCTAGGGACGCGGAGGACACGCACCTTGGATCTTGCCCCAGGGGCTGATCCGGATCGCCGTGCGCTCCTTGCCGATCGCCTGGATCACCGCATCGATGACCTCGAGCGTGAAACGCACGCGGTTCTCGACGCTCCCGCCGTACGCGTCGTCGCGGGTGTTCGACACGTCCTGCAGAAACTGGTCGATGAGGAAGCCGTTCGCGCCGTGCAGCTCGATGCCGTCGAATCCTGCTCTGTGTACCGCGTTTTCAGCAGCCGTCGCGTAGAGGTGGACGTATTCTTTGATCTCGGGGACGGTGAGCTCGCGCGGGAGGGCGCCAGTGGTGCCGTCGGGCTTGGGGAGGGGAACCGGGGAGGGGGCGACGACGTCGTATGGTTTGCCCGTGGTGAGGGAGGTGCCTTCGCCGGCGAGGGAGGTGGGGTCGGCCGTGCGCCCGAGCGCCCAGAGCTGGAGGTAGATAAAGGAACCCTTGGCGTGGACTGCGTCCGTGACCTACATGTCAACCCGTGAACATCGTACCCTTACCACGGAAACGCCAAAGCCGTCAATGAACCTACCTTCCTCCATTCGTCAACCTGCTCGTCGTTCCATATCCCGGGCGCGTGTGCGAGCCCTGCCGCGCGAGGCGCGATGTACGTCGCCTCGCTGATAAGGAGTGTGCCAGGGACGCTCCCGCGCTGGGCATAGTGCTCCGCCAGCTGGGGTCCAGGTACGTGCGACGCGTGGTTGCGGAAGCGCGTGAGCGGGGCGAGGACGACGCGGTGCTTGAGCTCGGAGGTGCCGACGCGCAGAGGCTGGAAGAGGGCGGGGGTGGGGGTGGTTTGGGCGATGGTCATGGTTATTGGATGTGTGTGGTTTGGTGGATTGTGTTACTGGAGGCGGTTGTGTGAAGGCGTGTTCTTATACTCGTCTGCTGTTCCGTTTTATTGAGGCTGTATGGTGGCATAGCGCTCCGTAAGACGACGAAGGGCCACCAGCGTGGGTGGGAGCGCCTCAGTCAGCAAGCATCGAGATTCGGTACAAGCTATAATTTGCTTGTTATCAGACCTTTGAAAGGTTATCAATAACAAATCAGTACCTATCTGTGAACGCGAAGGTTTGTCAGTGACCCTCGGCGAGGTGATGAGTGCCCGAGTCAGAAGCGTTAGCAAATATCTGTAAGACTGGCCTTTCCCGGCGTGTCCGGCAATTGTATGTTCTCGCAGACCAATGGCGTATTTAGCAAAAGAGGAACAACCCACAGAAGGCAGTTAAATCGGATGATGGGTTTACGACAAGTTCATGACGGCAGAATACGTGATTGAGAGAGCAACGGTCGTGAGTGGACGTGCGACAACTAGTCTTGAACAAGACAAGCTAGCTGCGAATGCTTATCAGCACATGTTGAATAGTGAATTGGGTCAGTTACGACGACAACCGAAAGGTAGAATCCGCGTGGGCGTATCATGGCGAGTCCAACGTCGAGGGGATGAAAAGGGAGATAGGGGCTATTGGCGGGGCTGCCCAAAAGTGGAGATGCCCCTGAAGCAAGGCACGTCATTCCCCCACGGGCGCTTACCTTGGCGAGGATCCCACACAGGCCATTTCCGCTCATTTTCCAGCCTCAAATTTCCAGAGACTTCCTCCTAATCCTCAACATGTCAGAACCCGTCTCTGCTGAAGAGCAACAAAACCCAACCGCCATGGTCACAGACGAGCCCACCAACGCTCCTGCAGCTGACCCTACCGTCGCGGAACCCGCAGCCGAGTTGGAGGTCAAGGCGACGGAAATGGCGGATGCACCCGCACCCAGGCGCTCATCCCGCCTCTCCACTCAGTCTCAGCCCAAGGGTACAGATGACGCCGCGGCGAAGGAGGCGGAGCGTAAGAAGGCGAGGGAGACGCGCCGCAGCAGGCCGATGATGCCCGCCAAGCCACCCAAGCGGGCCGCTGAAGAGGGCGGCGAGGATAACGACTCGAGCAAGAAGGTGCGTGTTGTCACTTTCATCCTATCTCCTTTCAACTTCGGCGTTATGCACCAAGGAGGGAATTACATCGCGTGCTCTTGCACCTTCACCACACCACGCTTTTTCTATGTGAACCGGGCGCTTATATTCCGTTTGATTCTGGCAGGCTAAGAACGAGCCAAGCGCGACAAAGGCTGTCGACATCGGCGACACGCTCCCGGAGATCACGCTCAAGAGCCACAAAGACGAGGATGTGGACGTGAGCGCGATCGCCATCGGCCCGCGTGGCGTTGTCATTTTCCTCGTGCCCAAAGCTGACACCCGTGCGTTTCTTGCACCCACCTTTCTTCCACGCGTCTATGGGCTCACCCAAATTTCCGGGGATAGCGGGGTGCACGCAGCAAGCGTGCGGCTTCAGAGACAACTGGGATGAATTCGGGAAGAACGGGTACGACGTTTATTGTCTCAGCGCGGACAAGTCACAGGCGCAGGATAAATGGTCGACCAAGGTCCGTTCCCTACCAACACTCGGTCTCTTTTCCTCATCACACTGACGTGTCTGTGCGCGTACGCGAAACAGAAAGAGCTGCAGTACACGCTCCTCTCCGACCCTGAGCGCAAGCTCATCACCGCGCTCGGCGCAGGCGAGGGCGGCAAGACCAAGCGCAGCCATTTCGTGTTCGCGCCAGGTGGAAAGCTGGTTGACAAGAAGATGCCTGTCAAGCCTGTCGACAGGTTAGCCTCGCTTCCCTTGTGCTTTCCCGTTCATTGCTCACTCCCGCGTTATACAGCCCTAAGCTCGCGCTCGAGTTCATCAAGAAATATAAGGCGGAGAACGCATAACGTGCACAGGAAGGTTCGTAACGTACGTAGGCACGTGGAACTCGAGTGGTTGTGGTCGATTTACCCTGCATGTATGTACTATATAAGCGCGAATGGAAGTGATTCATCTAATTCCCCGCGACGCGCTGTCTTGCGACTAAGTAGAGACACCGGAAACCCGGGTCGGCCCTCCGCATACTCGAGCGCCGGGTCCACTGACACTCGTCATCACAACGTCACGAGGGCATCGAGGTGTATGTGCACGGGCAACTCTCGCCACACTCAATGGGCAAGAACGCTGGCGGGCCACACTGTACTCTGCCATCTCGACGCTTCTCTCTCCCATGGAATCTGGGGCCTGAGTCATATGTCGCTCTCTGAGGCTATAAACAGCTGCTGGTGGTCAGTTATAACCCCTCTCCCGCTCGCTCGCACGCACGTCGCATCTTGTCCTCGTTATCGGGACGTGCACTATCTGTCTGCCTGTGTTCTGATTGACTTCATCTCGTACTCTCGAAGACACGAAACCACTTCTTCTCCAGTAGCTTGCAACACCAATACCGTTACCGACAATGCCGAAGACATTCGAAACGACGCTCGACACACCGGCGTTCAAGGGCTCGCTGAGTGTCCCGCTGGGGCTGTACATCAATGGCGAGTTCGTGGACCCCATCGAGGGCGGGGAGATCGAGTGCGTTTCCTTTCGCTTTATCAGAGTTCCACGCATATTAATGTATACTCTGCTCTCAGTGTTATCAACCCCGGTACGCACACTGTCTATCTCTTACAACCCAGTACTAAACGCTCCTCTTCGTCCTGTGCAGCCAACGGCCGCATCATCACCTCCATAGCCGCAGGCACACAGGCGGACATCGACCGCGCGGTCGACGCCGCCGAGCGCGCGTACAAGACATCTTGGGGGTTCAAAGTTCCCGGCGCGCAACGCGGCAAGATGCTCGCGAAGCTGGCGCACCTTATGAAGGAGAAGCAATCCGAATTTGCGGCGTTAGATGCGCTGGCTAACGGTGCGCCGGTCTATGATGTGAGGGCGAGCGAGCCTGGACGCTGACGCGCAGCGCGTTGGGGTTTGGGATGTGATTTTAGGGAAGGCGTACAACACTGCATTCAGCAGGGACAATAGTGGGGCGATTGCGGTTATGGAGTATTATGCGGGGTGGGCGGATAAGATTTCGGGGAAGACTATCGAGGTGCGTATGCTTTCAATGCCAATGTATCATGAGACATTCAGCTGATGGGGTATATGTCAGGTCAATGAGAATAAGATGGCGTATACAAGGCACGAGCCCATCGGCGTTGTCGTATGTCCTCTCATCTCTCCACATGCAACCTTTGCTGACGTTTTGGAACAGGGCCAAATCATCCCGTGGAACGTCCCAAGTACATCCTTTCCCCACCTTCGTCTCTCCCACTCGAGCTAATAATACCACTCCCTCCCCCTTACAGTGTTCTCCCTATCCCTGAAACTCGCCCCCGCGCTCGCAACAGGCAACACCGTGATCCTCAAACCCTCCGAACTCACCCCGCTCTCCGCCTTACTCTTCTGCACGCTCGTCGCCGCCGCGGGCTTCCCGCCCGGCGTCGTGAACATCGTGAACGGGTACGGCGCGAGCGCGGGGCACGCGATCGCGGCGCACCCGCGCGTGCGCAAGGTCGCGTTCACGGGCTCGACGCTCACGGGGCGCAAGATTATGGAGGCGGCGGCAAGGAGCAATCTGAAGCCGGTGACGCTCGAGCTGGGCGGGAAGAGTCCGACGGTTGTGTTTGGGGATGCGGATGTGGAGCAGGCGGTGAAGTGGGCGATTCATGGGATATAGTGCGTTTTTTTGTGTTATTTTGTTCTATCATGGGCTTGAGTTGGTTGAGGGCGAATGGTGGTTAATTGGGATTGCTGATGTGAACGTGGTGGCAGCTTCAACCATGGGCAGAACTGCAGCGCGGGATCACGGATCTATGTCCAGGACACGATCTACGACGAGTTTCTGCGGGGGTTCACCGAGCAGGCGCGCGCGATCCGCGTGGGGGACCCGTTCGCGACGGACACGTACCAGGGCCCGCAGGTGTCCGAGACCCAGTTCCAAGTGCGCTTCCTCCTTCTCCTCCCCATGCTTCCTATTAGAAGACGACCTCCTTCGCTGACGCTCGTTGGGATGTGGCACAGCGCATCATGTCCTACATCGCGTCAGGCAAAGAGTCGGGCGCGACCGTGCACCTGGGCGGGCAGCGTATCGGGTCCGAGGGGTACTTTATGCAGCCGACGATCTTCACGGAGTGCACGCCGGATATGAAGATTGTGCAGGAGGAGATCTTTGGACCTGTCGCGTGTCTGATGCGGTTCGGGACTGAGGAAGGTGCGTGCGCGCGTCATGATTTGCTTTGCTGTTGTTTCTGTGCCTTGTGCTGACCAGACCATGTATGATGTGTGAGCAGAGGTCCTCGAGAGAGCGAACGACACGTCGTACGGGCTCGCGGCTGCTGTGTTCACAAAGGACATTGACCGCGCGATCCGGGTCGCGCATGCGCTGGAGGCGGGCACTGCTTGGGTGTGTTGTTTTCGATTCTAGCTCGTTTGGTGATCTGTGCTCATGCCTATGATCTCCCTAATAGATCAACTGCGCGAACCAGACAGAGATCTCGATGCCGTTCGGCGGGTTCAAGCAGAGCGGTATCGGGCGCGAGCTGGGGGAGTATGCGCTCGAAAAGTGCGTGCATCGCGTGCTCACCTTCCAACACAATATTAATGCCTTTGATTCGCAGCTACACCAATGTCAAAGCCGTGCACGTCAATATTGGGATTAGGATGTGAAAGTCGGTTATCTTTGGCGCTGTGGACTCGCCATCACGGGTGCTGGATGCTTGTACTAATATTGGAAAGATCTGCACGGAGAAATGTATACTTAGCTGTATGTTCATGAAACAAGCAAAATCATTAACATGACTCATTCTCTGACCTAATTGCACCTTTCTGATAACTCCAAGTACGCAGCCATCATTCTAGCACGTTGTAGCGGCCTGCGGTTCGAATGGCGTTCCCACTTGGGATTTTGCCTTTTGGTCGTCTTTTGGTCAACGACCACCTACCTCGATGGTAACAACCTGAAGCTTGCGGGTACAATTAATCACGGTCTCTGGAACAAGCGTCAAGTTACATGACGCCTCGGCCTGGCCGCCTCAAGGAGGGTGAACACGGCGCACCCTGGATCTCTGACGGAAGGGTCACTTACGAGGCTAGTAGAGGCCGTTAGAATTGTTTTTTGGTTTTCTCTTCTGCAAGAAAAAGACGCGCAACAGACTTTGAAGAGGCTTGCAAAGGCAAGTTAGCTGATGACAACCGAGGAATCGTCTGAGATCCGCCGGCAGTCACTTTGATTGCAGAAACTTCTCCCGATCTAGACAGACACCAAAGTATTGTTTCTTCTCGACTTGCTGAGAGGATGCGTCGGCTTTACGTTCATTTCCACAAGCTCGAAAGGAGAAGCGGCCTTCCTGAGACTCGAAGTGGCACATTCTACCGGAGCAATGGGGTAGCGGTGGCAGCCAACATTTTTGCGGCGCTCGAAAACCGGCTTCGGAACGGTACACGTTCGTCGCGTCCTCTCGCGTCCAACAACGTGGGCCGACAGGCTCTTTGACTTCGTCGATATCCAGGACCGAAGGAAACAATGAGCGTCCGCCAAGCATGCCACGTTTGCCCGCGTGTCCCCACCGTGGCCACTTGAGGACCCTCCAGGTGCCCAAGACATGGTTCCCGCGCCGACGCATGCACCGCAGATCCACAAACGGCTTGTCAATTTGTGTATTCAGACTTCCCGCAGGCTCTCGTCGGGCACCCCAGCTGACAGTCCTGTTTACGTCCCGCTGTTATCTGATGCGCGATAATGGCTCGAGAGGGAACGTGTAATGGACGGTAACTCACGCTTATCAGGCTCGCTTGGACGATATGGTTCGTTCGACGCGCTTTTAAGGCCAGACGTCTCGCGTACCTAGCCTTTACGCGAGGGACATTCTATTCGCCCCCGCTGCGTCGTCGCCTCTGGCCTCCACACGCGTCAGTCCATCCCCAGCTTCAGTGCTCTTAGCCGGTTTCATCGTGACCGACATGACTTTCTCGTCTTCCGCTGTCTCTCTCGCTCACATCGTGTATGATCATATCGAACACCTCCAGCTCAACGCGCTTTTCATCAGCCTTGCTTCTCTCGTTGTATTATACCACGCCATTGCACCCTTCTTCCCCAACGACAAGCAGAAGTCATGGATCCTCACGACTATCTCCTCCGCTTCAATGACGCTCGCCAGTCTCCCTTTTGTCTGGGACTATGCGACCACGGGAGGCACCATCACCGACGTCCGGCACTTTGACGTGTGGGCGTACTACACATGCAGATTCTTCCAGGCCTATCTTATAGCGTGCGTCGTGCTGCATTTCTCATGCATTAGTGCTGATAGTTATCGTCTTTGTAGTGACTTATTAATGGGCTTCGTACACTACCGCAAGAGGGTCAACCCCCTCACCGGCTGGTTCCATCACATCGTCTACGTCTGGATCGTGGAATACGCTGTGCGGATGGAATGGGGCTACATCTTCTGCCTCGCCGCATTTATGGAGGTATACCAGTCCCCACCCAGCGTTCTACCACTTCCATCTCATCTCTGATCCCTTGATTTCGCCGCCTCCAGCTCCCGACTTTCGTCCTCGCCATCGCCTCCCTCTTCCCGCGCCTGCGCCACGACGTCCTCTTCGCGTCCACCTTCCTCTGCACTCGCATCCTGCTGCACGTCGTCCTCTGCGTCTCCACGCTGAGCAACCGTGCAGCGCTCACGGATGGCTCCGTAGGACCGAGCATCATCCTCGCCTGCGTATTCCCGCTGCACGCCTTCTGGTTCTACGGCTGCCTCAAAGGTTTTGTCGCCCGCGCCCGCGCGGCCCGCTCTCGGACCACGTCCACCGCTACTTCAACACCCGCCCAATCCACCCCCGCACCGCGGCGTCCCGCCCCCACCACCGAGCAGCACAGCCCCGCACCCAGCCCGACACTGTCGCTGCGCATCCGCCCCCACGCAGCAGCAGCGAGGCGCCGCGGGCTCCGCCAGGCGCTGCGCAGCGTCAACTGGCGCTGGACGCGCGTCGCGGACCTGCGCGACGCTGCGGGGCGCATGGGGCTCGGCGGCGTGCGCGAGAATCTTCGTGCGGCGCTGCCCGGGCGCGAGAGCGTGTATGCGTTTGTCGGGCTCGAACGCCGGAGGAGGGGGGTTGTGGATGGTGCGGCGCGGAGTGTGGGGGTGATGTGAGGTGGTGAGATGAGGTGTTCTAAACTCGCTTTGGCGTGATACCTGACAATACGTAGGACTCTTCAACGGGTTTTTGCGGTTAGTGCTTGTGATGATCTTTGTTTTTCTTATTGGTTTTGGTTATGTCTGGTTGATACCCCGTGTGTGTACTATAGTTACTTAGAGTTTCGTGATGACCCTTTACGAATATGAATGATTCTATAATGATGTATCATGCTTACTCTGTTGCTTCTACTCTGAGCCCTAGTCCTTGGACGTTATGTCTCATCGCTCTCATTACTTTCGTCGCTCTCGTCGCTTTCTTCGCTCTCGTCATCCTCTTCGCTCTCATCATCCTTTTCGCTCTCGTCGCTCGTATCAGTATCTTGCGAACCTTTCACAAGTGGCGTGACCAAACTCGCTCCAATGGACTCTGCATACATATGAAGTGCATTTGCACCTGAGGTTGAGAAACGGGGCTTCGAGATCGTCACGTGTTCAAGCTTTGCCCCGGCATTGGCCCGTCCCTCGAGGAAGTTGAGCATGAGTTCCGATGGCAATTTAACGATGTGAGATGTGAAAATGTGCACGTGGACGAGATGCTGCAGGAGCACCTCATCATGATGATCCATTTTGGGCTCCACGTCAGGGCGCGAGGGTGTGAGGACGCGAAGGATGCTTGTGAGGTGTTCTTCTTTGAGCGATCTTCCGAGACGAAGATGGTGTACCTGGGACGCGTTGCGGAAGAGCCCGTCCCAGAACGAGGAATCGGTGGGAAGCAGGCCGTCTACGTACAGGGTATGGATATCCCACAGAGATATGTTGCGAGTGAGCAGATCGAGACCTTGATTGCCAAATGGCCAGGAGATTCTGGCGCTAAATGATTTGTCTTGTTCATCAGGAGTGTAGAGATACCAAGCGGCTTTGCCTTCATATTCGCATTTATCCCACATGTCAATGTAGAGGAAATCAAAGGCGGAACTCAACCCAAAGTTGAGGCATCGCGAAGGGCGTTCGGATGAGATATTTGGGGGAACGAAGAGCTTTTCAGGAAGCAAGGGACCGGATGTTGGTAAAGAAAAGTTGTTGTTATGATCGCCAAAGTCAATATCCCCGATTCTTATTCGAACCTCGGCAGATAAGTTGATTAATGTAAGCAGCTGGAAAAGGGCAGAGTGAGTCAAGAACTTGAGCTCGAGCCACTTGAGCCGCGGCAATGTGACAGTTCCGAGTCGTGGAGTCCACGACGGAGGTACGAGTTCGTCCGGAACGATTGTGCACTTGCAGAGGACTAGTGTTTCGAGACTAGGAGGGCAGCAGCTGAGGGTAACAATACCCTGCCCGATGTCTCCCTGTGGTACGCCTCTGTGATCCTGTTGTGCGGACATGGCGTCTATGCCCCAGACCATCTGGCATGCATCTAGGTCCAGGGACTGCAGTGAGGGAGTCTTTCCCCCGAACAGCGGGCGCGGAAACCTTAGTCTGTCTGCCCATTCAAGAGGTACGTAGCAAATGCTGAGGCTATCCAAGAGCGGGGCTGGTCTCGTGTAAAAGTCGCCAGGGAGCTCACTCTCGTGAAAAGTGATGTGAAGTTGGGAGAATCGCGATATCTGCGTTAAAACATGAACGATGACCTCCGCCCAGCCATGATCTCTGTCAAAAAAGTTGATGTCGACGTCTAGTGAAGCCGACTTGGAGCGCTCCAAGAACACGCTTGTCTTGTTCGGGTCGCGTTTCCAGCACGTGGTAACACTTGACCAAAGACTGGGGAAGGAAAGGGCGACCTCGCGCCAGTGTCGGGAGACATGCGACAGAGCCAATGTCTGGTCACCAAGATCAGACCGGATTTCACTGTCGCAATCCGGTCTGCGTGATCTCATTGTTGCAGAGAAGAGCATAACGCGAGCAAGAATCTCTGGAGGAAGGCATTGTATGGTCACTGGAGTAGACCGTCTACGTACATGCTCGCTGCTAAGAGCAATAGGACCTCCGGTGGGGGGCTTTGGCATGGGTTTCCAAGCAGGGGTACGGGCTGCCTGGACTAATGAGTACATCTGAAGCTGATGAGAAGACGACAGACTCTCTCACCTTGCGAACACGGCAAGAACACGGAACAAGTCGCGATACTTGCCAAGGACACGCGGTGGTCGCGCGACGCGCGGGCAGCCCTCGGCAATTGCCGCAGGACCCCTCGCGCTCCATCCACCTCGGCTAGAATCGGCTAGTCTCTGCGAGATGACCATTACAATGCACGGTCGCCCGCGCAGGTATTTTGTCAAGGCGGGGTGGGCAAGACGAGGGTAAAGCTTCAAGTGCTGGCGGGGCTTATGAAGGTGTTTCCCCTTCCTCCGGTTCGGAGATTGTGCTAGGCAAAACAGCAGCCAGTGAAACAGCTTACTATGCTGCATGTTACGGGCGCAGCAGTATATGGGTGGCGGATGCTAACAGGCGGTCTGCATGCGTCTGAAGGACGTAGAATTGTGAGTTTTACCGCCTGCGGTGCTCTTGGGCGTGGTGAGGGCGGTAGGCTGAACATATAAATTTGATACTGGCAGCCTACGGATTCCACAGCGCAGTCACGATGCTATGATGTTCTGCTGCATATCCAGTATATTTATCGTAGCCATACAGTGCTTGTAGTAACCTGGATGCCTAGGATATTTCAGTAGACTTACTGCGCAGATAGGTACGCAAGGGACTCAGACCTCCTTATCCATCATATGAGCGCTCGTGGTATCTTTTAAGACCCGCACTATCGCTCATGGAACCTGAGCACTGATAGCAGCATCAGTATTGTTAAAAATACTATGATCGCTGCTCTGAGCGAATGACGATGAACGTTGAACGTTGAACCTTGTTCATGCCGGAGTTTTCTTGATTATCTCGCGCTGTTCAGTTGAACCTCCGTTTCGGCATTAGCCGAGCCCCTACACGCTCTCTGAGTTCACTTGCTCTTAACTTCATCTTTTACCACACATATTCGGGCATCGACGCATCCAAACAGCCCATCTATGCATCTAAATCAAGCAACATCACCGCGGGGCACATGTTACAGGACGCCGCCCCCGACCTCGCCGTCCCAACGGACGACAGACCGCCCGACAACACCGTGCCAACCGACGTCGGCTGCCGTAGGAGTACTCCGTGTCGGCCGACGCCTACGGTAACGCCGCACCGGCCGATCCGTTGTGCGCCGTATCTGACAGACTGCGCCGTCTTTTGTGCGGTGTTGCGCCGTGTATGGTACCCGTCGGCCGCCCGCCGTGGCTATATCCGCCGCCCTTTGGCTGATCCGTCAGTGCGCCCTTTTTGATCGGCCGACAGGAATGCGGCATGATAAGTTTCCGCTCTAGTTTCACTCGCGTTGCCATTGCCAGATTGAAGTTGTAGCTACAAAAGACATTTATTATGCAGAGTGTTCTGCTCGTATGATACACAAGAGGTAGGCTACTTTACATTATAACGACATATTGAACGTATTATTGTTTGATCTAATTTGGATTAGGAAGAGAGCATTGAGCGCTGTAAGCGCTCGTCAGACCTTGTGATTGCGGAGGCAACGCACTCTCGAATGCTCCATATAATGGATGCTTTCGACCTCCCTATCAGTGTATGAGCCAGACTGATCAAAGAAATGGCAATGGAATGGGACTGACTGCGATCCGATGTCCCGGGTACGATAGTCTCCAGGTGCCCATTGATGCCCGTGTCGGTATCGTGCGCGTTGAGTTCTGCGTCAGTGGCGTCATCAGCGCCGGTGTCGTGGTCGGAGGCGGTGCCAGCACCGTCGTCGAAGTCGGCGTCGTCGTTGTTGTTGTTGTCGTGGTCAAAGTCGGGGCCGTCGTCATGATCGAAATCGGCACCGTCGTCGTGGTCGACGTCGGCGCTGTCGTCGTGGTCGAAGTCAGCGCCGTCTGTGCCTGACACGATATTAACCGAGGCTTGGACGGCATCGGTCACAAGCGTCGCATTGTCTTCTAGAAAATCAAGTTAACAATGCGGTTACCTCTGCATTGGGAAGAACAAGACGACGCTTACCGATGTCGCTGTACTTTCGCTTACGACACGTTGAGGGCGTCGCTGTGTTGTTCTCCGCTGACGTCACCGAGGAGCCAGCTCGCTCAGCTGGTAGACGACTGGGAGGCTTCACCTTCTCGAGAGTACAGCTCCTCCGCTTCCACTTGCAGGGCCAGCAGGCGAGGCCCGGTTTCTTGAAGCACTCTTCTTCCTCCATCTCGATGCACCTCTGACAGTGAGCATCCTCCGGCATGTATTCGTCAGCATCGTGGTATTCGTCAGCGCGCGCGCGAGAGTCAGGACATGTGGGATGCTGCAGCGAAGACGACCGAAGTTAGCTAATGCGAGTAAAGAATAAGGGCGACACTCACTGGCAGCTTTTTGAGGGCATGGCGGTCAGCCGCACTCAAGCGTCCACCGCGTGCAGATTTCGTAACGAGAACCTTGGAAGCTGTTGATTAGTCCTGCGAGCCACGAAATAAACAAACTCACCTTCGCAGCTGGCGGAGTTTTAGAGCGCCGTTTTTTGCTCGGTGTTGGGTTTTGGTCATCACTTGATTATAAGCCCTGGTCAGCGACTGAATAATACAAGAGTCTGAAAACTTACGCGACTGCCTTGCGCTTTTGCCTGCCGCTCCCTCCGTCCGCGCTGATAACCGATGCCTGCTTGGCAGCTACCCTGGTTGCAAGTCTCGTGGAACGCCTGCGAGAACATGAGGCGTTAATGAAAACCGAACGCAATGAGAAAAACGCGAAGGGATAGCTTACCCGTGCAGCGGTATCCGAGACGGCGTGCTGGGGGGGTCCTCGCTCTCGACGCTCTCACCGGCGCTGTCATTGCCGGCGTCTTCAGACTCGACGGCAGGCGGGTCCCACCAGTTGTAGGGGCCGTATGGCGGGGATGGGAGACCCTGTGGATAGCGGGGCTGCCACTCCGTCTGTTCCCGGTAAAGGGGGGATCCCTTCGCAATGGCCAGAGACACAAGGCCAGCGGGACCCCCCGCCCGCTTGAGCCACTTGAGGATTGGGGGGACGTGGACGACGAAGACGTCCTCGCCACTTGAGGATCGGAGCATACCGATATGCGATAGCGCTGGCATGGCGGCATCCTGACCAGAATGAGACACGTCAGCGAACAAGGAAAAATCGAAATACTCACAATCTCGCTTTTCAGCGTCACCACATAAGCCCCTTCTATGCCCCAACGCCCTGATGCTTCGATGATTGCCATGAGCCGCAACGTAAACGCGTCAAAGAAAAGCTGGGCATCCAGCATCGTGGATGGCCAAGACAACCCCGCCTCCCTTGCCCAAGCTGGCAGGGTTCGAACGGAGACGGTAGGTAGTGGAGACGACGGGGGGGGCATACTGCGAGCGCGTAGGGTGGTTGAGGCAAGGGCAACGACTTGGTTGGTGCCGTCGTGAGCGTTGCGAGAGGATGAACGGCAGCAGGAAGAGGGCGCAATGACGGGACGATGGAGAGAGGGAGGTGGCGACTCGGCGGCGTGCTAGCGACGCGTGCGGGACGAAGGCGCAATGGCGGCGCGTTGCTGGGGGGGATCGATGGCGGTGCAGCTCAGAGACGACGCGCGCGGAGGAGCGGCGTAACAACAACGTGGAGAGCGGAGTGATTGGCGAGGGCGCAAGCACAAACGTAGTCGTAAGAGAAGAAGTGGATGGGAGGGCAAGAGGCAAAAGCGCGAAGGCGCGCTCGAGAGTGCGGCAAGAGTTTATGAAGCGCCGTTCGTGCACGTCACATGACAAAGGCGGAGACAGGGTCGCTTGCGCTATATTTGTCATGTTGCGCGGCGCTACGTATTTCGGGCACGGCGCCAAGCTCCCATCGGCTGGGATGGAACCAGGGTCGAGAACTGGCCGAGACCCAGTGGAGACTTCTCCCTTGATCCGCGCTGTCACTAATCGAGCGCCCGGGTGTTCGGGACGAATGCCGAACGGCGCCGATTCTATTTTAGGTTCATGGCGCCCTTGGTCGGGTTTAAACCTCTGATCGGTCTCCCTGCCTGAGCGCGGATTGACCGCAGACCTCTGCGGAGGGGTTGTCCGCCAAGGATGCCGGCACACGTGGACTGCGCACCAGCGGACGTGCCGTCGTCCGTGCCTGCATTCTCGGCTGAATTTGTGCCGACGTCCGTGGATGGACGCGCCTCAATGCATAGCATCCGCCAGGCGGTTTGCTTACCTACTCAACCAATCCGGCGCACCAACGCCCAAATGTATATGTTGCTTGGGCTCCCGGGTCGCTTCCTGGGAGTCACCGCTGCTCCACTCCTCAGGGTGACCAGCCGCACGGGCGAGAGACCGATTGGCGCCCTTCGAATGAAAACACCGCCCACCCGGGCCTGGGAGACATGAATAACCGGAGCTGGGGTGCCTCGCAACGCCGCGCACGTTGTGAGAGAGAAAAAGAATTTCAGGGTCTGTGGTGTGTAAAATAGCCATGTTAGGCGCGAATCGAACGCAGGCACACCAAATAATGATGCGGCATCTTACTTGTTGGGCTACACAGCTGCTGTAAGGAATGTTAACAGTTGCTTGGTCTCTAGCTGCACTCAGACGGGGCGGAAAATTGAATAAGGAACTGGTAAAGAGCTTTTGCAGGTGCACGCTACCAATTTATGCACTATTAAACTACCTTGTGTTTTTGTCACACTATAGTCATGTGAGGGTATTGAGAATGATTGTTTCAGAGACCAAAGTGGAGACTAGTGATCAAAATAAATACTTACATCATGTACATGATGGGACGAGGATGTCAATGAATTCTGAGTGCAGCTAGAAATAAAGCAGCTGTTAACATTCCTTACAGCAGCTTTGTAGCTCAACGGGTAAGATGCCGCGTCATTATTTGGTGTGCTTGCGTTCGATTCGCACCTAAAATGGTTATTTTACACAGCGCAGACGCTGAAATTTTTTCTCTCTCTCGCAATGTTTGCGGCGCTGCGAGGCATCCCGGGACATTTTCACAACTTTCTACCCTGAACACCCAGTCGACATTCACGGGGGTATGGTTCTATGTCGTTATGTAAATGTGCAATTAATTCATGTCACGCCGCTGGATATTCCTGTGAAGTCTGATTGCCTTCGGCGTGTATACCCTGCTGGTTGAGCTATGATTAGGTACGTGGCGCAGACGTGTCAGCGGGGTGTATCAGCTGAAGGGCGGGAGGTATAAAAAACAAACTTGCCTTTCCTTGCAACAGAATATATCCCAGGTTCGAACACCGGCGTTGCATGGACACGGGCGTCGGGGACACTCATAGGCAGCTTCATTAGACTTGTTTTCACAAGTCTGATCAGTCCCCGCGCGGAGACTGTTAACATGTCACTCGGGATGGAAGTGGAGGACGTCACAGCGGCCGGCTAGTCCGGCGACCCAATAAATCACATATTGAGTCGGGTACATATATACATACGGGTGACGGCGCCGCATATACAAAGGTTGTGAAAACATGCAAAGTACGAGATTGAGCCGAAGGTAGCTAACAAAGAGACTCGATGATGGCTCCGCGGCATGACATACGGTGAGGAGCATCTGGAGATGAACGTGAACGGCGACCGCGGGCGGCTATCGGGATGCAGCGGCAGCACAGGTGTATGCAAGAGGAGCAGTGAAAATAGGAGCCCAGTTTGTGGTTCCCATGCAAAGTGTGAGAACTTCTGAGGCGAGCTCAGACTCTGGCGCGTCTGATTACAAATGAGGAGATGAATTTAAGCAAGATTCATCGCAATAAACTCCAACATCATGGAATATTCATCATGAAGGCGCGCATCAGAGTGAATCAAAACGGCGCCCATGACGACGCCCACGTGGAAATCACGGAATGTGGCTGTGACATGACGCCGCGCACCATGCGGCGTGCAAACGCGAGGCGGGGTTCCAGGGCAGAGCGCGGCGTCTCTGCAAAGCCCATCCTTGCCTCTAACCCGCACCATGGATGCCATTTCCCATTGCGAAAACATCACGAAGAATATACAGGCCCTTTATCATGGGGAATACGCCGAGATTCCGGACATTGGCGGCCACCTCCGCGAGGATCTGAGGCGCGCCGTGCGCATCATTCGCCGTGCTGACGCCTGTCCAGGTGAGCCCGTTTGCCTGTCAGTGCTATATCGCCTTAATGTCTGCAGTCACCTTGCATTGCAAGGTTTCTGACCTCATCAAGATGATCCCATCGCCAGGGCAAGCGCTTGACAAGCTCCCTGATAGTGCTTTCCAACCAGAGCCACCCCAAGTCTCGTACCCTCCGGACAACTGTCCGTTCTATTCACCCGACCGCGACGCAAACACAGGACGCTTGTTAGCGGTTCGACCCTGCAAGCTCGTTGATTTAGACGGGTTGGCAGTAGCGTGGTTTCTCCCCGACGTACTTTCGACTGCACGTCAGGCAGAGATCATCGACTCGCTCCGATTGATGGGCGGTCTCATGGCGGATGGTATCAAACAGAATGACATCAACGACGCACGAAACTCGAGCCTGCTGTTCAAACCTGCAGCCGATTGTAATGCAGCTGGAGCCGGCTGCATAAACATATCACCTGCGTGGCAGATGCTCGGGCACGAGGTGAGTTTTTTTGGGCAAATGTAATGGTCTTCAATGCCAATGTTCAAGTAGACAGAAGATTGGCCTCCGAAAGCCTCTGCAAACTGGCAGAAAAACAAGACGGCGCTTAGCAGCTGGGTTGCTGCGTCTCGAGACGTCTTCGCCCTCATATCGGCAATCTTGAGCATCGTTCATCCAGAACAGTACCGACAGGGGATTCTTTGCATGAAAGCGATGGCACAAAAGCCCGGGGTTGGGCCGTTTGCATCTCTCTGGGCGTCCGCCTTCAACGCCGCCACTATCATTGCTAACCGAGAAACGCTGTTTCATTGGGACCGACGTGGGCGTCATTGGTGGTTTGATATTTTGGCGACATGTGGGAAATACACCGACGGCCAGTTCTCTCTGCCTGCCACCGGTATTGATTTTCATTACCGACCTGGCACCGTCGTGCCATTCTGTGGCAACGTACTCTGCCATGCTGTGCCCCACTGCATTGGGGAACGGATTTGCCTGGCATTTTACATGAGGGATGTTTTACATAGGATTGCAAAGACAGGGGACGGATCGTGGTCAAAGTCTATTTTCACAAAGACATAGCTAGTATCTCCTGTATAGTTAACCATCTTACTGTTATTCATTTGGTTGTGTTTGGATACAATGTTGAGCTCTGACTGTTGAATGTTCCGGCTGGCCTTCACCTCTGTTGTCTGTTCTGATTTGTAAGCCATGATATTTATGGGTTGGTAATTGGTCTTAGCATCTCATTCAAATCTCGCTCCCTGTTCTCACACATCCTCAACTTGACTACTTGGTGGTATGTACTCCTCACCTAGTTGCACTTTGGAACAGGGGGTCTGCACACCTCTGACATACGCACTCCACCCCGCCCATTTCCACTCCCCTATGCCACCACGTCTGTTGCTAATGTTGTGGGAACAATCAGTCTGGCCAACGGCATTTGTTGCTTGGAAAGCAAGGGCAGTTCTCAGATGTTCTACTGTTATTACGTTTCTGCACCCCACTGCAGCCCAATGTGGTCTGCACCTGTGCAGCTCCGTGTCTACAGCCCGAATCATGATCAAGCACTGAATGCCATGGGATGACTGGGCATGTCGGTCATTTTAGAATGACCATGACTGACAGTGACCGGTAATGTCAATCATTGTGTCAACTGGGGGACACTCTGGGACTCATATGGTGCGATTGGCAATGTGGTGGTGGGTGCCTTGTGCACAATTGATAACGGGGCACCTGCTGACTTTCTTGATCCTAATCATTCCAGCCGTTCCCCAACAACTTTCCACAAGCTGATATCCACAAACTAATCACCCCAGATATATTGCATCAGCTGATCGAGGGAACCTTTAAGGATCACCTGGTTGACTGTGTCGCAATAGCCCCGCTGTTGCACCGCTGTTGACATGCAATTACAATAGTGAGGAACGATTGCAATTCATTACACTGAGATCTATCCGGTTTCAATCAATTTTGATCGAGACGGTCCAATCGCAATCAGTTGCGATTAGGCTAGTCTAATGGCATTTGAGAGTGTGAGAATGTAAGTGATTTCAACACACCTGGCCTATTGCAAGCAGCTTGCCATTGGCTGTCTCCGGCTGGACTTAGCGTCGTGGATATCAATCACCATCGCTCTCTTCGCCCCTCGCTCCTCGCTTGTGCCTTGTCTCTCGTCTCTCGTTGATCTCATCCCCGCTCCCGCACGGTTCAGACTTGTCCTGCCCCTCACCTCTCACTTCTCATCGGTCACACCTCACGCTCTCGCCCCTTGGTCCTTGGCCCTTGCTTCTCACCTTTTGCCTTCCGCCTCACGTCCCTCGCTCATCACTCGCTCAACCCACCTACTACACCTCCGACATTACTTTTTCCTTTCCCCTTGAACCCTACCATGTCGCTTTTTGAACAGAGCCTGAAAGATCAGGGGGCTACTAAGGTCTGTGACATACACACAAAGAAGGTCAAATCACAAGGCTTGTCCAGACACCGGGAGTCTTGCTGGAGGAGTAAAGAGGACAAGAAGCTCAAGAAACAGCTCAGGAACATGTCTCCGAGGAAGAGAAAGCGGAACACCGTAGGTATGTTTCCAGTAGCCTACTGCATACCCGCGGTTTCAATATCTTCCCAGATGCTCTGAATCAAGACAACCCCGGCCCATCCAAGTCATTAAAGACTACATCTCCTCGCGGTAAGTTTCTTTCATTGCCCTAATGTATTCTAAATCTCAAGTTGCTGGGGTAGCATGACGAATCATGTCGCCAACACCTGTGTCTTTCTCGCTCTTCGGCGATCCCGTAAATTGGGACGGTACGTGTGTTTCATGTTATATCGCACTACTACCTGATAACATCTATGAAGCGAACTCGTTTCCCCCGCCGTGCATGTCACCCAAACCTGAGCACCAATCTCCGAATGCACCTTCGCCATCTCTGATACATCAACATGCGCAGGCTCCTCGCTGCATACCTTCGCCATCTCCACCTCCCAAGCCCGCCCCTGCCTCTATCCTTGCCCCTGCCCCTGCCCCTACCCCATCTGGGCCCCGTGAGCGCGATGGCCCGCCGGTCAAGGATGACATTCGAGTAGAACATCACCCTCATAGTGAACGCCCACCTCAAATGTTTCCCTTCGACAAGTTCCAGCAATACCCTGCCCCTGACCCCGAGCATGTTCCTTCGCAGAAGCCCTGGAGTCCGTACTTTGATTTGAGGCTTGAATTTGAGATTGTGGAGCTCGCATTGGAGACGGGGATGACTGTTGAGCAGACAGATCATTTCCTTGAGCTGATCCATCGGGCCTGCCAGGAGCAAGACGTCATCACAAGTGTGAAGCATGAGGACATCAGGCTCAAGTGGGAGGCGGCTTGTGTGAGAGCAACTCCGGTACGTTCTGCTCATCTGACCGGTCAGCTATTCTCATAACCACCTTAAAATATAGTTCAAGAAGGAGGAAGTCAAAGCATTGTATGAAGGGGTAACAGGAGAGTATGATGTTCATTACCACAACATTTGGGAGTGGACCAAGGAACTTCTGCGTGACCCACGCATGTTTCCTCAGTTCACCCTTGATGCGCAGCGGCTCTCGAAATACAACGGTGATAGATTTGTTCGCTTCTTTGACAAGCCGTACACGGCAGACAAGTTTTGGGAATTTCAAGTATGTTCTTAGCCTATTGTTATCTACGCGCTCATCACATCTGTTGTATATTATTACATTGTAGACAAAACTCCCCAATAAGGATGGGAAGCCAATCTGTTACATCCTCTATGCCGACAAGACAAAACTCTCATTGTTCGGGACTGAGAATGGCTATCCGGTGATTGCCCACATTGCCAATCTCCCCACAGAGCTTCAAAATGGAGAGGGCATGGGTGGGGGTCACCTTGTGGGCTGGCTTCCAGTGGTACGTACTACAGTGTGGCAATGATTGCCGCGTGACACTTTTTTTGCCAGGTCAAAGAAGACACCCTCCAAGGGACCGAGAAGGCCCGCGCAAATAAAACCAATTTAGCCAACTTCAACGCCGTAGTTTGGCATGAAACCTTCAAGCCGATCCTTCAGGCAGTAAACTCTCGCCGCCCTCACTGGGTGACATGCGGTGATGGTGTGGACAGAGTTTTTTTCTTGCATCTCCTCATTGTTTTGGCGGATTATGAAGAGCAGTACGTGAATGTATTTTATATTTAGGCTCATTTTTCTCACAGAACCTTCTAGAACCACTATGGCTCTCACTCGCGGGTATAGAGGCTTCAAGCCATGTCCCACCTGTCTTGTAAACAGAACCGAACTCTTTCCCGACCTTGATGCAGAGCAAGTACCTCGTACAATCACAGGTGCGCAGGATACTCTTAAGCGAGCACAGGCGGCCACCACCAAGAAGGATAAGGAGAGCATCTTGAAAGCTGCAGGGCAATGTGGTGTGGAGATGAGATACACATTCATTAGTTGCATTGTTCCGGGCTTTATATTTCCTTCAAGAATAGCTTTTGGTCAATTAAGTCAGATATCCACAGCATCCTCACATATGACTGGCTCCACGTACATCTTTTGGGCTTGTGGGGAGATCACATTGGGCCTCAGCCCCAGTAAGAATAGCCCAAACGGTCTTATAGGCGAGCCGCGGCACGCTTATATACCTTATCCGGAGCTATATGGAGATAGATATGACGCAATTGCATATGCATTTCAACATACCAGGCATGCGTATTTTACATGTCGTAGCTCTAGAGTCTCCAAGTAATGTAAGAAAACATACCGTGCATGCATATGATATGCGTCGACATGCAAACGCATGTCGACACTGCCTCAACATATGAATGTGATCTGCCCGCCCACACACGTGCTTCCCCCGCTTGTGCGCGTCGCGCGTCGCGTCAAGCCCCTATTCTTATGAGTCCTCGACCCCCTGCACACGCATCGTATCCCCATGGCCCGCCGCAAGAGAAATGAAGGTACAGATGCACAGGAAACCGTTGAGCCCACACATAAAACATATTACTGCAATTGTTTCACTCACCACAACGGCAAAAGCACTCCATGCTCGAAATCTACACTAGCTAGGCATCGGAAGGATGCTCCAGAGGAAGAACGGCGTCGTATTAAAGCAGCCAAGCTATCTGAAGAATATCAGAACCAACTTACACCACCGAACATAAGAGAACTAATCGCACAGCGCGCTTTACAGACTGCAACACACGTCAGACTCACTGGACAGGTTAGTACATCAGTGCATACATTCATAGCTAATATTCGTTATGGCAGCGTTCTACGGGCGCGTCTCAAGCGCAAAATACTACAGGAGCTTCTGAATCTGAGCGTACAGAAAGGCAACCCGAGACTCTGGGCTTTGGAATGGATTTGGACGACGATTCCTCAGGCGACCAGCAGGATGAGCTTACCCTGCCCTCTAGACAGCCTTCTCTAGCTCGGGAGTCTGGTCCTTCTGGTCTGGGTACTGGCCCTCTGCATACTGGCTCTGGTTCTGGATCTAGCCAACCGTTCTCTGGTCGTCCTCTGCCCACAGACGATCCCATAGCCTCGCTGGATCTTGACGAACTCAGAGAAAACGCAAAAACGGACGAGCTAAAGCGCGATATGGATTTCATTCTAGCTATTCGGAACGCCAGAGTCGACGACCGCTTTGGCCTGAAAGGCGAACCGCTGAATCGTATCCGAAATCCTCCTCGAGAGCGTACGCCAGTCGACGATCCTGCTGTACGACTGGCAATCCATCTATATGACATTCTTTGTAAATCTTCGGACCAGGCGTATCACGACGTTCGAGGGGCCATTCAGACGTGCTTTCCTGACATCAAAATCTTGTCCCTACATAACGTCAAGCAGCTCATTCGCGATCTGACTGGCCTCGACGAAGTCAAGGTCGACATGTGCACTGACGCCTGTGTCGCGTTCGATGGACCTTATGCCGACCTAGAACATTGTCCTCACTGTGGGATATCTCGATACGATCCGAAAAAACTGGCAAGATCGAACGGCAAGAACAAAATACCTCGAAAAGTCACGATAACATATCTAGTTGGCCCCATGATACAGGCTCGCTGGCGACATCGCGATAGTGCTTGGGCTATGGAATATCGCAATCGTCGCACTCAGGCACTTTCTAACGAGCTCGTTCGAAACCATGGCTTGCCAGATCGATACGAGGACTTTATAACCGGTGAGTACATATTTTTGAGCTATAGAATTAACTAAAAGTGCGTATATGCGCAGGTACTTCTTATGTCAATGCTGTTCGAAAGGGACTCATTCGCCCAGAAGATACGACCCTCATTGGGTCCACGGACGGTGCTCAGCTCTACGCGCAGAAGGACTCAGATGTCTGGGTCTTGATATGGATTTTTACTGATATATCGCCCGACACTCGTTACAAGAAGAAAAGCATTATGATAGGAGTGGTTATTCCAGGACCTAATCACCCGAAGTACCTTCCTTCATTTTTATTTCGAAGCTTCCATCATATTTCAGCGCTCCAAAAAGAAGGTCTACGCATCTGGGACGGCTATGCCAATCGAGAGTTTCTTTCTAGGGTTTTTCTAGCTCTCTTGGGCGCTGATGGACCGGGTCTACTCGCCTTTAGTAATCTAGTTGGGCACAATGGACTGGTAGGGTGCCGTATGCACTGTCCTCTCGAGGGTCGCCGCTTTCCTGGGTCGTCAACATATTACCCTGTTCTTATTTCTCCTGAGGGCTACACTCTGGATTCTCTAGGCGACATTAGTCCGTATGATCTATCTAGTGGCTCCTCTGAGCGTTATATCGAACAGCTGAAGCGCCTCATGAAAGCTAGAAACAAAACCCACCACGCTACACTTCGCAAGCAGACTGGTATAGTGGGCCCAAGCATGGTACTAGGCCTGCAACCGGGCGCTTTCTTCGGTATCCCCGAGTGCTTTACCTCTGAAATAATGCATTATGCTGCTCTGAACATGACATCACTCTGGCTAGCTCTCTGGCGACCTGGGGACGCATTCTGTCGCTCCACGGACGACATACGAACCTGGGACTTTGCGATTTTCAAGAACGAAGACACCTGGATCGAATTTGGGCTGCGAGTCGTTTCAGCACAGATACACTTCCCGCCCTCGTTTGATACACTCCCAGCCAACCCTGTGACGAATATTAGCTCGGGCTACAAGGCGATCGAATACTTGGGTTTGATCTACCTTCTTACACCGGCTCTGCTGTACGGCGTTCTTCCAGAGAAATATTGGAAGAATTTTTGTCTTTTTGTGCGCGGGATCAGACTCATCAGCCAGTATGGAATCACACCTCAGCAAGTGGCCGAATGCCATCGTATTTTCGCAGAATAGGAGCTCGAGTTCGAACGTCTCTATGTCCAGGGCCGAATGGACCGTATACATTTTGTACGGCCGTGCGTTCATTTATCTAATCATCTCGCTCAGGAGGCGGTTCGTGTGGGCTCGCCTATCATCTCGTCGCAGTGGCCCATGGAGAGGACCATCGGAAATCTTAAAGAGGAGCTTCGACAGCCGTCGAATCCGTTTTCTAACCTCGCTACTCGAGCTCTTCGAAGGAACCGCCTCAATTCGCTCAAAGCCATTTATCCCAAGCTCGATCTCTCTACTGATAAGGATCCCCGCTGCTCCATTGATATAGGTGACGGGTTTGTACTTCTCTCCAAGCGAGAAACAACTCAGATGCGCAAGCTCCCCGAGCCCGAGCAAATACTCATCCAGAATTCATCAACATCCCATCTCAAAGATGTCCTTCGATTTGCTCGCCTCAGTATCCCTTCGGGAAAGGTAGTTCGTTCTCGTTGGCGAGAGTCCCTTCGCGATGGACGTATATCACGGAATGTCAAGGTAAAGTGTTTCTTGGTGAATTGGTCGGCTTATAACTTGTCCATAGGTCGTTTATGAAGCAAGAGAGCGATTCGCTGAAGTCCTCTATTTTTTCTCGGTGCCAGCAGACGTCCAAGATGGTGCTCAGACATATAGATCGCTTGCCATGGTGATTCTATACTCCCCACCCGACCCAGCCCTTCTAGAACTATCAAGCAACACCACCATATCATGCTCGCACCCTGGCGACGACTCTCTATTTGTTATCGATGTCAAGACTATTCTGTCTGTTGTTGGTATGGCCCCTCACTCTCCTATTTTACCTTCAGGCCAGACAGGCCCTCGATTATTTGTCATGGAAAAGCTGGGGCTCGATGTTGCTGTACTTACAGGCGACATTGAGGCTCAAGTTAATGTTCAAGAGGAGCCAGACGATCACTAGTTTACTATCACGCTAATTTGTGTAAATAGAATGCATAGGATTAAATTGAACTGCTATGGAATCATTACATGCGAGCAAAGCACGACAGAACAAGAGAAATTGGCACATCATACCCTGAGACGGCCGCAGGATCGATTTGCGATCCTCTTTGATCTGCGCAGGTATTCTGAGCGAACGTTTACCTTCTCCTTGCGGTGACGGATGGAATGGGAAGGCGGCGGGCTGGTAGACTGAAAGCAGACCAATTAGTGATGCATATATGCGCTATGAAACAGATTGCGCGTACCTGTATGCCTGAACGCGTCCCCAATGCCTGATCTGCCACTCTAGCAGCCGTACCGCCAGAACTATCTGGCTGCTGACGCTGCGCTCCGGGTGGATACCGCTTGTACATGATATGCTGGGCCTTGGGTAAATCCATCGAACCCGAAAGTGGGGTGATGTCGAAGCCAAGAGGAACCTCTGAGGTCGTGCGGGATGTGTTCGCGTCACTGAGAAGGGGACGGACGGCTACAGGAAGTGCCACAGCAGCCGTAATCTCGAGCTCTTCGCGACCATCAAAGTCGCTGACTGGGAGATCGTATCCCAGGTCATTGGATGAGCGTCGCGGGCGCTCAGATGCTGGGGTTTGACGAGGGAGATCGCGCGATGTCTGAGAGCCAGATCCTAGTAGCCTAGTATGAGATAAAGGTGCTGGGTGTGTGCTCACGTGACTCGTACCTGCGGTAGGAGGCGCCAACTCTATGACTATATGCTGTAGTGCTGTAAGTTAATAGTTCAAGTAGAAGTGAAATTATAGACGTACCATGGTAGCAAGAGACGCAGGAGTAAACCTGAGAGCATGGGTGTAGCCATAAGATGGATCGATGCGACAGTAGAGGACGTCGTTGACGAGAATGGGCCTCAATGAAGACGAGGCATGTGGGGGAGGCAGCGGGATAACGGGCGCTTCCCGGGCGACAGGCTCTGTGGTGTGGGCGAATAGCTCCAGTTTGTTACCTTGATGGGCCATAGCTTGACGAACGGGCGATGGGAAAAGAGTAGAACGGGACGATAGCAAAGCGAGACGAGCAGAGACAAGGCCGAGATAGCGTCAGGGACGCGTCACGTGTCGAGCGGAGTAACCGAGGAATCGACGGAACGGAAGCAATCGATTAATTAATCTCTTCCTCGAGCCCCGATCGCGCGAAGTGACGTCGAGGCTCGAGTGTGGGAAACTAGACTTACAGAAATTGCCGTCTCGTCTCTCTTTCTTTCGTCTTTCTTTCTTCCCCCTTCCCATTGTCCTCTCTCAAAGGGCCTACCGTCTTCATCACTCCAATCCACCAGACCATGTCCTCCCCCTCCGTCGAGGACGCGAGCTCCTCGCTCTTCTCGATGTCCTTCCCAATGGATCAAGATCTCGGATCGGAACTCGGCGCCGGCACCCTGGCCGACGTCTCCGCTACACAGCTCGATCCGCGTCTCGGCTTCTCTCAGTACCCCAACCAAGGCGATGGCACCAATCATATGGTACGTCTTTTTCTCGCCATTTGCATTGCTAACGTGCCTTTCAGGATATTCTCGTGATGCAGCTGACCGAGCAGCTGCGTCAGACTCGAGTCTCGCTCGCTCACCAGACCAGTCAAGTCGGCACCCTGCTGACTTGCCAAAAAACCTTAATGTAAGTCTAATCTATTCTTGTTGGGTCTGACATCATAGTCTTCTAGGGACGCGTTCACGATCCTCGCGACTAACGTCGGTCTGAACGACACCAGCGCCCCCGATCTTGTGGCTCTTGCGTCCGGCGACCGTCGTCTCATCAAGGAGAAGTACCCCAAGGTCAAGTTCTGGGACGAAGACCGGTACTGGAAGTGGCTCGAAGAGCCCGCCCAAGTCCAGGAGAAGATACAGCCCACCTCCCTCCCCTTCTTCGAGGACGATAAAGGCGAGCGGCTCTCTGCCCAGAAGATGAAGGCCATCTCCGAGACTGCGCGCTCTGTCTGGCAGGGGCTCCTCGAGGACAACAAGGCGCCCGAGTCTTGGGCCAAGGCAACCGACGAGGCACGGAACCGGCTCATCAAGGAGGTCGGTCAGAAGCATCCCGAGACGCGCCTCTGCGAGGGGAGCTGGAAGATCCTCGAGATGGCCAACCGGCGATACGGCTCGTGGAAGCAGTACAAGAATGCCGAGTTCAACTGCATGTACTCGCGCATCGAGCTCGGGTTGGCGAGGGAGAAGGCCGAGCTGTTGGCCTTGCGAAGGGCAGAAAAGTCAGCGGTAGGTAATGGTCAGACAACCTCAGCCTCGGATACCAGCAAACACCACCGGGAGGGCGACGACGACATCGAGATCCTCGCGTACGTACGCCCTCCAAAGCGTCAGCGTGCAGCGCGGAAGTCCGCAAAGGCCAAGGAGGAAGAGAAGGAACAGGCTATGGAGCAACACGGCGATAACGACAACGAGAGCTCGGCGGATGCAGACAAGGCATCCAGCGAGCAGGAGACGGACCAGGCCGACGCTGGTGAGAGCAGCAACGTTGATTCCGCGGTACGTCTTCTTTCCTTGTTTCATTCATATATTCATCCCACCTCGACAGTCTAACCACACTCTCCCACCGGCGTCGAACCCTCTGTAGGTTTTTCTATATTCATTATATGCGTTCTGTTGACTACTCCTTTCCTCAAGCGAAACTATGGCATCGATGTTCCCTGCTCCTCGGAACCCGTTGTAAGTAGTTTGCTTGTTGTTGTGCATATACTCACTCCTTCTCGCAGAATGACCACCACAGCCCTTCCACCTCAAATACCTACGGCTCCAGAGGGGAGTGCTGCAAGCGGCGAGGCAGATCCAGCATCTGCTGATCTGCCGACGTCTGCACCCATGTCACCTCCTCGTCCTCCATCGACAATCGCGCCCGAAACTCCCGCTGAAACAGACACAGCCGCTTCGGCTTCCGCACCCGAGTCCGTGGTCGAGCCATCGATGGAAATAGCGACCACCACGACCACGAAGCCAAAGGAGAAGATCAAACCGATGCGGCCAACGCCATCGTACACGGGGAGGTAATTCTCTCTTTTATTATCATTGGTTTTCGGTTGCTGATTTGTTCGTACAGAGTTCTCGCCCAGCATTGTTATATCAATAAAAACGGCCCCACGGAGCTAGCGGCCTTCAACGCGTGGTACAGCACTCTCGGAGCAGACGTTGTGAAGGCGAGTTTATCATTTATTTGCGTCAATTCATTCTACTGACTACGATTCGGACAGAAATACGACGATGACGCGAAAGAGTTGGTATGTGTCTTCGTATTCTCACTGCTTCCGATCTAATCTCATCGTATATAGGTGGCTAGCAGCGTCTGGAAGGCTCACACGAAGCTTTATATTAAGAAGATAACTCAAGACAGATTCTACGCGTAGGCGATGCGATGGAAACGGCCTTGAGGTTGTTTTCTAGGCGGCGAAGGCGGGCAGGAGGCGAGGGTAGTGGGGGAGCGGGCGGGCATTGGACTATACTGTATTATAGTGTGCTGTAGTCGTTTACATGCCAATGTCAGTCCATGTTGCTCGCTATAATTGCATGTAAGCAGCGCGATAATAAGCCAAACCGATCCTTATAGTCTGCTATATGCTGTTACACGCGCACAACTGGCATGTACCCATGTGTTGCACAGGATATGTGCGTGCAATTCTCTTATACGAATCGTCCCATTCTTACAGTGCATTATCCTTATTTATATGGTATACGTACATGTACTGACCTGTAAGTACATTTCGCTAATTTCTACTGGGCCTCAGCTCCAGCTCCACGCCAGCAGCCTCAAAAAAGCAATGTTTATCAATGACTAGTGAGTGTTATTAACTATACAATTTGATGGCGGTAAGCCTCACTTAGTGTTAGTTACTGAACTTTTCCTTGCTGGCACCACTTGAAACACCCAAGCACAATCATGAATGTTTCCTTCACTGATGGGACGACTCATGAGGACATTTCCAAGGTACACTGATTCACAAGCACTCACTGGTTAGGACAAGCTAATGTGTATAAAGATCTTTGTCTACGCTGCACATAGAGTTCTCACTGAATGATTGTTGCCTGCCGGATATCTCTTACTCAGGTGTGCTCGACTTTACCTCGAGTATGATATGTACGTGTCACTTGAAGTCCATACCGAGGATACTTTGCAGCACACTGCAAATGCTCTCAAGGCTTTCATCTCATTGCTCAAGGTAAGCCGTCTTCTGATTGCGTCAAAACACGCTAATATACACAAACAGGAGTACGTTGTTTTGTCACGTTCATGCGACAATCCATCTATCAGCAAGAAGACTTGGGACCTTCCCAAACTCCATATGGGAGAGCACATCCTGGCTTGTATCATCGCTATGGGCATCCTACACAACTACGACACCAGGCCCAATGAGAAGATGCATGGCCCACTGAAGGAATGGTACCTATTCCGTACAAACTTCCGGGATGTCGCTTCTCAGGTGTGCACCTTGAGCCCTCTGCGTAGCTCATTTTCTGAGTCCTCATTCTCTTTAATCAGCTCCTTCAGATTGATCATCACTTTGTCGCATCTGGGGTGATCTGGGCCCGCCTCAATGACTACAATAGCTGGAAAAAGCAACAGCTGGATGCCGAGATAGGCTTATCAGTTGAAATTGCTGATTCCGAAGCGGGGCTTCTTGTCAATGAGGCGTTGGAGCCAGGGCATGAAGCACCACCCAGACGAGGGAGCTTGATGGAGCGGACTTTGGACCCCCCCATGGTGCTCGAGCAGGCGGACGGTCGGCCCACCATGGAGATGGTTCGGATCAGCGGAGAGTCCGCCGGATGATCAGTGGACAACAAACAGTGGCTGTTTATGCTGCAAACAGTGAAGCGACAACAGCATTGGAGTTATAATTGAGCATCATCTGTGCAGCGGAGGGGCCGCCGGAAGAGTCCCTTTGAAGTAGCGTGCTATCCTAGCATATCAATTGTAAAGGCCGAGGGGGGGTCGGATTGTAGCAGAAGAA